CCCCAAAACCCCAAAACCCCAAAACCCCAAAACCCCAAAACCCCTTATTTTATTTTTAGTGTTGAGGTTAAATAATATCAGTCGTTTCCAAGCAAATTACTCAATTGATTATCTATAGTTCCCTCTGTTATGAATTCAAGCTAAGTAATTGGACTAAGAATTTCATTTCAAGCTATTGTTGAGGCTAAGGAACAGACAAAAGGACTGTACTACTTAAAAACTAAGGGAAAATTCACAGAGCCGCCATAACTTCTGAAATCATATATGTTATTAATATTTTATGAATTTCTTAGTTTCCTGTAGAATTTGTCGACACTTTTGAACCAAGTTAGATCCTTTTTAGAATCCTCTCGACAGAGTTTAAGAGAAAAATAAACTTAGAGAGTATGCGAAATATTTCAAAAGTTGGTAGAAAATTTTACAAATTTTACCTGCCGAGCTCCTATACAAGTTTGGGAATCAAAATTTCAGTTATCAAAATAGAGCAACTTCAGGTGGAATCTGCTAATGCATGAGGTATGATTATTTGAAGCTAATGATAATTTTTTCTTCTCTTCTTAAGTTCCATTGATACCCTTTTCAGTTGCAGAGCTCCAGGGCAAGATAATCCCCCTCTCATAAGAGGACTCCAAGTGTCGCTTCAAAATTAATTTAGTTAATGCTAAAATCCAGGAGAACACTTTATGCGAACTCTTAAGGGCACAATGAGGCTTCTTATGTCTAAAAAGAGGGAAAATTTTATGATTCACCGAGATTAGCATATCGATCAACTGTTTTGGAGTCCTCTTAATTTCTTGAAATTTTACTCTGAAATATATTTTATACTACCTGACATCAAAATGGGTTAGTTCGGATAATTATAACAAAGGAATGACTTGTTAAGCTATAAATTATGAACTTATAAATCTGATTATGTTTGCTATCTCTTCTCTTAGCTCCATGGCAAGCTCACCTCAAAATTTGCTTCATGCTTATTTCTCCTCAAATGGAGACTTATGGAGAATGTTGATATTGAAATATTTACCAACTCACTTAGACCGTATCGAATAAATTATTTGCGATTTTCTCCTTAGCTAAATATTTAAAATCTTTCCAAAGTTTGAAAATATCGATACACCAAGTCTTGGAGAAAATATCTTAGTTTCAGTCCTATTAGAGACTTCCTCCATAACTTTCTTTGCTGATATTTTAGATCTGGTATGAAAAGTGGGTAAGCCTAATGTATGCTCTATAAGTACTTTTAAGTACAATAAATAAGAGAAATCAATCTTCACCTTTATATGCTTCTTCTGATTGAAGGAAATATTCTTCTCCTTCGAATTTTTATACCGACATTGAGATTAAAGAATCTCCTTGCCGTATTAATAATATATTTAAGAAAGAAAGTATAATCATTAATAATTATTTTTTAAATTATGCAAACCTACCAAGGAAATAAAAGAGTGATGGCTACTTATTATGAGTAAGCTATGGTTCAAACCCAATGTTTTGCTCATGAAGTTCTTTGTGCATAGCAAAAACTTTATGTGAAATACGAAAGATTGCTAACCTTCGCTATAGCTTGCCTTTTGATCCCAGAACATTGAACCTAGCTTTGCCATTAAAGCTTCAAGGAACTATAGAGGAGCCTTTACCTGCCCTTAATACCTTGGCAAGATCTCAGGGCCAGCCTCTTTATTGGGGTGCTTCAATGAGCATTTTTCCAAATTGTCCGGAAAATCTGAGCTTTAACTGCCCTCAGCCTACTCATCAGCCAATGTTCATGAATGATTTCCAGGCTAAACCTAATGGTAAGACTCTATTAATAGACTTTGATGTAGCTTTCCTAAGCTCTCTCTTGATTTCTTAGCATGGCTTCTAATAAATTTAATAGTATTCACTAAGATCTTCAAATTTTTCATTCAGCTGTCTTTTTTCTCAAATATCTTCTTTGGGTTAAGATTTCTCTCCAGAAAATATCTTTTACAGCAACTCTTTACCAGAATTATCTCGCAAGTATAATTTCAGCACATTTCACAATCCCTAAGGCCTTAGGGATAATGTTGGTCTTTATTTAGAGAAGATTTATGATGCCTTGTTGAATTAGAGTTTAAAATTCTTTTATTAAGAAGGAACTAGACTTTTTAATCTGAAGAGGATGATAACACTATATGTAATTGCTCCCTCTTAAGATGAAATATCTACGCCCTATAAATGCTAGTAATCAGCAACTCTTGCTAGAAGGCAGCTTTTAAATGCTAATTATGAGCAAAGGGAGATTTTCAAAAGATTCTTTATTTTTACCTTTTAGTACTTTACTCATCATTTAAACTTAAAAGGATTGGGACGAGTACACACTAGACCTCCGTTCCTTTTAGATAGCCAGAATTACATCTTATCTTAATGTTATTAATAAGGTCAGAAGAGTTTAGAGATGAGCTAATTCTTAAGGAAATCCAAGATCTCCTGGAGTTTATGAGAACGAAAATTTAAAGGAGAAATTTATTGATAACTTAATGCCGTTCAGCTTTAGAATTTGTAATAAAAATGCTTGTCTAGTGTATCAAATCGAATGCAGCTCAAAAGGATATCCAGAAGAATTCCCAGAGATATATGAGCAGCAGAAAGAGACCTCAAAGCCACTAAACTTGGAGGAAAATAAAACTTCAATTTTGAGCAATGAAAAGAAGGTATGAAGAGTAATTTTCAGACTTTTTTCTTCGATGGTATGAAACTGGTGTTGATATGAATCTCCTGCTTTAAAGGCATTAAGCTTGGAGACTTAATTTTTTGTGTAAACTCAGTTCCTTCTCGCTTTTAATGCTTCCTCTTAAGTATATAATTGTTGTGAGTGATTCCAATGAAGATAATAGGCTCTGATATCCGGATTATTTAGAAAAATTTCTTCTTGTTCATATCTTACCACAAAATCTTTGAGACATAATTTTCCAAAATTTTTAAGACTTCCAAACTTAACGGAGAAAGGAAAAATTGCTTCTCAGCTAATTTTTCCTTGTTTTCAGACCGTTTTGAGCTACGTATGATGTAGGCATTATATACTTTTTCCGCTAGTTCGTTACCTCATGAAGACCTTATATAAATGTTCAGAATTTAAAGACCCAATTTTTCTATGAAAATCGGATGACAATAAGTCCTTTCCCAGATGGCCCTAGGACTTGCCGTCTTTAGTGAAGCATTGTCGTATGTTCTATTATCTATATACTTTTGAATGCCCTGATTTGTATGACAAACCGGCAATTTTTAAAGCCTTTTTAATAAATCGATTCTGTAGATGGTTCAAAATTTCTGGCAACTCTTGGGAGTAATATGTAAACCTCTAAAATATTGATCAATTTTCATCTGCTATGTTATGATATGCCTCTTCCTAATTAGGCTTAGAGTAATTAGCCATCTTTTCTAGTTCCTGGATGCTTTAGAGATGATATGATTCTAAGAGCATTTATATCATATAAATAGAAAAGTATTCTGAATTAAGCTAAGGAGACTTGCTCAGAACTTTCATTTTACCCGAAGTAATCAATAGTATGGAGACTTCCAGAATAATTTACCTGCTCTTATCCATCCATCTTGACTAGTCTAATTTCCATGCAATTAGTGGTGTTTAGTGCTAATAATTAAAGACTTTATTCGTTCCAAAATAAGCATTCATATAATAGAGAGCTCTAAATTATTTTAAATGATCTCTAAAACCTTCAAAAGCCACTAGAGCATCTCTAAAATGAGCTAGGGTCTTTAGCTCTTGCTTCCAGGAGAGATTTTACACTTTTCATAAGAAGACTTCTTCAATAATTTTAGTAGTTTGTGGTTTACACTCTTTATTACCTGAAATTATAATTATAATGCCTCGTTTGCACATGCCATTGGAAGAGACGTAGGCTTGCCTATCCCATTAGTGATCACTAGAAGGCCCTAAAATGATCCATTCTTAGCTCTTCAGTCGGATAATTCATCTAGAAAAGTGGATAATGTTTATTACCTTATTATTTAAAAAGCTAATGAGGAGAGTTCTAAAGAAGAAGAGCTGAGGAATAATAGCCAAGGTGGTCATAGAGACTGCTACGGCTTTATTATTTCTCAATTTAAGAACTTAAGACTATCCATATGCTGCATAAAAATAGATGCCTGAGTATTATTTCTATTCTTATTTCAAAGCTTAACTTATCCTAAATGCGAGGGCAAGCCGTTCGGCTCTCATTTCAAGATAGCTCCTAATGCTTCACCCAAGATAAGTGTGGTGCCTAGTGACTTCCAAGTCTATCTTGCTAATTATTTTATCTTTGCATAATTCTCCCAAACTGTTCATGAGTTAGAAGAAAATTTTAAACTATGGAACGATTTAAGTTTTTAGTCTAATCCATAAATTTTAGTATCCAAAACAATTCGTAAGCCTAACTCTTTCTCGGTCCAAACCAATATTAGGGCTTTAAGAGAAAGTCTCGAAGCTATTAGAGAGCTCTAGATGAATTATAAGTCTTCTCTCGAAAAGTTTGATAAATATTTCACTGAAAATAATCGATTAATTATGTTGTACAAGAAATCAAATTTTTGCTGTATTGTTGCCTATATCAACATTTTTAATTCTATCAAGCTTGATAATAATTTCTAGGAGGCTAAATTTGCTCTTGAATATTCCAAAGTTTAGAAGAAGCTTCTTAGCTTTATTCAGCTACAACAGAGTTAAATATTCTAATGATTAGCAAGTCAGAGTCTACAAGCTCATAATATCCATGAAGGTTGATTATTAAGTTTAAGAGATAGCTAAAGTTAACATATTTTATTAATTTGCTTACTAAAAGGTTGAGAATAATTCAAATCGCCTATCTTTGTTAAGACAAAGTATAATAATCTCTAGAACTCGCACTATGAATAGGAGATAGAGACATCTGTTCTCAGCTTATAGAGATTAGTTTTCGCTAAGCTCCTCTTCAAGTGAACACCATATTTTGAATCAAAATTTAGCTAGAACCTCTACATAAAATCTCGTTTTACTCATCATAAAATACATTTACACTAATAAAATTTTTGGTCATAAAGGACATAAGTCAGCTTGGTTCCTCCAAAGAGCTCTATTACCAAAGTTAAAGAATTATTGTCTTAATTTTCAGCAAAATGCTATCCATTCGTGAAAAACCAAGTTTGATAATCTTGAATTTTTCAAGTTTGATCCTAATTAGACATAATTTAACCACCCATAAGTTCGATGGTGAACCTGAAAATTTTACAGTTTGAAATTAAATGACGTAATTTTAAGTTTTAAATGAGCCCTCTAATATTGTTATATAGGAAGGTAAGAATCATTTGGAGAGATTAATAGGCCTCACAGGCTAATTTTCTATTGAATTTCTTTGTTAACGTATTTTAGAAATCAAATCGAAGAGAGATGAGAAGACTTATATGTATCAGATTAAAGAAGTAATCAATCCTAACACAGGAAGAAGAAACAGACTCTTTACATGTAGCTATCAAGGGTGTAGTAAGGAGTTTTATAAAAAATGGAACTGCACAGAGCATTATAAGACCCATACTAAAGAAAAACCTTTTGCTTGCTACATTTGTGGAATGTTCTTTGCCCAAAAAGGATCTCTATTCAAGCATATCAAGGCTAAGGTAAAGAGAGGACATGATCATGGATACAAGAACTTCATTGAGAAGTACCACGGCAAAAGAATTGGAGACATCATCGAAGACTAACTCTTACTTTTATTAACAGTCTCTTTAACGGAACAATTATTTTTTCTCACAATTATTCCATCCAATCATTACTCTAATGAGGGCTTCATTGAGAGAATTCTTACTACACAATTTCTCAAGTCTCAAGAGATAAGAGATAAACAACAAATTTTCAAAATTTCTTATCTATCATTACCTGATATTTTTCTCTCAAAACTTTCATATCAAACCCCTTCTATAAAATTTGCCAAGCAAAGGAATAATGATCCCTTTGCAATAAAGAACCTGAACTGCTTCTAAAACTCCATTTGTTACAGTATTTTACCAAATTCCTCCACTAAAGTCCTTTTATTATCGATTTTTTACCTAATTTTACGAATAAAGTTCAATTTCGATACCTTAATGACTAACTTTTCACCTAGTTTAGGTAAATTACAGGACTCTTAGTACAAATCTCTTACTATCTGGGACTCGTTGCTTATTAAAGTTTTGGCAACTTAGTGTATCCTAAATCTCTTACTATTGTTTAGCACAAGTTTTTAATTTATGTGCTGACTCTCTCATTGTTTTATACAATGGAGAAGTGCAATTGGAAGCCTCCTTGTTAGATTTGTGGAAGGATTGGGCTGAAATTTTTAGAGTTAGCAGGTGTATGTTGGGTTCATTAGGATATGGACTAGCATAAGGCTGAGATGAAAGAAATGGGGTAGAGTATATAGGTAATAATTGAAGCAAAAAGTTTTGTTATTGATAGTGATTAAGCTGTGGTGGGGTCAAGAATTTGATGAATTGATTTGATTATTGTAGAGATAAAGTAAGGGAAACATTTTGAGAAATAGGTGGTGATCCCACTTTATCTTTTCATCGATATCAGGAAAGAGAACCCAGAAGTAAAACAATGAAGGGTCTGGATAACATCGACTGAAACTATTTATTTATCTCTCTGAAGCAAGCAACATTTGCGAGGATGCCCAAAAAAATTACTTTAGAGAACTAAGATTATCTCGCTACAAATACTACTTAGTCCAAAACGATTTGTAAACCTCTAAACCAATGTTGTTCAGGCTTTCCATTTCCTTACTACCGACTTCCATTACTTAACCTTGACACAGAGGTACATTGGATTCACCATCTAATTCTTGAACATTCCCTTACTGTATCCCTACAGAGGAAAAATCGAAGAATAAAATTGTTGCAGTCGCAGTGGTGTACTTGCTATAAATTTATACAAACGTAATGACCAATTGTTCTGTGTGTATTAAAAATACTCAGAGAAAATTTTGCCGAGTGTTAACAGTTTGTACCTCCAATATGTTCGAAGAGCGTTGGCCAGGGGCAGAAAGAACTGGAGCATATACTTTGGAAGCAGCTTCTTACTATGAGAACTTTTGGGCGATTTATAACTATTTTTATGAGTAACTAATGGCTTCAAATCTATTCAAATTTCGAGATTCTAAGTAATCTGAGTTTACCATTTTGCCAACTTATTTTCAGGTAATAGAGATTTCAATAGTTATTGAGAGGTACGGGGTTTTGGGGTTTTGGGGTTTTGGGGTTTTGGGG